TCTTGGTGCGAAAGATCAAGAACCAGAATGATTTGCTAAACAGGTGGCGATGATTCGCAGAGTCCCGGATGTTATAAAATTTCCAGGAAATTCCTCCGAAAACTGAAATGCAATTTGGGCTTATAAATCAACTGTCTGCTCGGATATCTCAATACCGAGTAGACCGCTTAACACAATTATATAAGCTTTATATGAATTACGATATCTATACTCTAGCTAGTAGGCTGTTGGATTTCCAATCGAATGCAGACGTACCCAGTTCATATTTGGTGTAGATGCAGTAGTGGGTAGAGGCGTGTGAAATTGGATGAGAGTTCTGCGATTTGAAACCAATCTCTTTCGACTTATGATTATTCTCTCTCTCTCTCTCTCTCTCTCTCTCTCTCTCTCTCTCTCTCTCTCTCTCTCTCTCTATCTCCCTCTCTTTCTTTTTTTTCCTTCTTTCTCTCTCATATTGTGACTACAGCCCTCGGGTTCTATCTCCCCCATCGTATTATAGCATTATTTATATTTCCCCCCTTTCTCCGTCAAATCCGCCCCCGCCGGCCGGCCACCCCTCCTCCTTTTTCACACACTCACTCTCCCCCTCTCTCTCTATCTCTCTCTTTTTCTCTCTCTCTCTCTCGCTCTATCTTTCACTCCCTAACTCTCTCTACCTCTCCCCTCTCTCTACGTCGATACCCCAACGTTTATTTCTCTGCATTTGTCTTTCTCTATCGGTCTCCCTCTCTATTTCTTAACTATTCATTATTTCGACAAAATCTCTTAATTTCCTCATCATGTCCAAGCTTCTAAGGTTTTGAAAAGAGGTAAGAGGAGCTTCTTGGGTTTTGAACTTCTCCTGACTTCTCCTGACTTTTCCTAGCTTGCCCCTCTCTCACTCTCCCTTGGATATCCATTCCCGTCCCTTTAGTACACTCACAAGACTCTCGTCGACGAAATTAATGAGTGCCGCTAGCATCCTTCATCTCAAAAGATAAATCTAAGTAATTACCTGAAGTAAAAAGTAAAAACGTCTTCGCCTCAAGAAAATAGAACGTTTATCTTCCCATCACGTGCTTATAATGACGACCGTAGACAAACCAAACTATTTTGCTACTACCATCTAACGAGGAGAAGATAATATCCCTATCACGAGAGCAAAAGTATCGTCTTTCATTGGTGACCTTTCCCGATGTCTTACTTTGGAGAGGAGTAATTATGGGCATCATAATGAATAATAGTAAGATGGGGAAAGAGGGGGGATTTGATTTAATAACCATTTTTTATATAATAAAAAGCGTTTCTTTAAAGTATTTTAGCGAAGAGACATCGTTAACAAGATTGGCGTGTTGTGTATACCAATGTATATTTTATCTCTAAATTGCATAATATTAAGGTAAACTTTTGGTAATAATAATAATGATAATAATGATAATAATAATAATGATGATAATGATAATAGCAATAATACTATTAATAATGACAATAATAATGACTGTATATATACATTCATGCGTTCAATTATTTTAGTCCTATTTCAGCAAAGATTGAATTATTTCTTGGAATAATATTTAACCATTTCTGACTTGTGCAGAAACGTGTTAGACGTATTAATAGTTCCCTCCTTTTGATCTTGATCGAGAATGTACATGGACTTCGTTCATGCAGGAGTAAGATCACAAGACTTTCATTGAAGCGTATCAATGACGTCATAAAAACTGACTCTCTCTCTCTCTCTCTCTCTCTCTCTCTCTCTCTCTCTCTCTCTCTCTCTCTCTCTCTCTCTCTCTCTCTCTTTATCTCTTTAGTAGTAGTAGCAGTAGAAGCAGCAGCAGCAACAGCAGAAATATTAGTACTAAGTACTAGTAGCAGTAGCATACGTAATAGTCACAGTTGCAGCATGAATTAATATCCTATCATACTATAAGAAGTTGTAAATTCAGTATTAAAATAGCATTCGTCGTGTATAGCAATACAGGAAGTCATTGTAAAATACGAGGTGAAGATTCGCTATCCCTTTCACTATCAGTCTCTTCTCCTTGTTCTACTTCTAGCTTCAAAAGATCATGTCTATCCTCGCTTTAAAGGAAAGAGTTCGTTACCTGGAATCTCAGGGGTTGTCGGACTAATCGAAGGTGTCGAAAGAGAACCTGTATATATTTCTTTTTGCGACTGATTCCAGATGGATCATAGGTGTAAAAGTGGATAAAGGAGTCAAGTCGTGTCACCTGATTTTACAATTGAGCTCGGCTTAGCATTCGAATAGACTCGTACGTTTACTCCTTTAAACGTTCAACGCCTCACTTAGTAGTCAACGTTTTATTTTTCAAAACTTGTTATTCTTTGAAATATATTGTTCTGTGACATGAGGGTGTCGATGAAAACAACGGGCTCTATTTAAAGAATCGTGATAATTTCCTTGAAATGTTACTACAATAAACGGCTTGCATAGTCATATTGAGGCCTTTGACTAAAATGGTTATGGAACTTTTTAGTTTCATATGTTTTTATGGAACTGACCAGTTCTTGCTGTCGAGTAAGCCCATAGACAATTAAGGTGACTTTTGATGTCTGGTGTCGAGCGTTTGGGCCTTCAGTGTTGACGATATATGGGCCTATCACCGTAATGCAATAGTGACGAAACTTGGGGCTTTTACCGTCACTCTTAGGTGTCAAGATCGGACCCTTCATCTTCACGAGATGGCATCGAGATATTGGACTTTTTTCGTCCACTAGTGGTGACCAGATTTGGGCCTTTCAACGTCAACCAATGGTGACGAGATATTAGCATTTTAACGTTAATCAATCGCGTCGAAATATGGGCCTTTCTTCTTTCCCTAGTGGTGACGAGATTGGACCTTTTACCGTCACCATGTGGTGACGAGATTCGGTCTTTTGATCCTCCCCTAGTGGTGACGAGATTTGGGCCTTTCAATGTCAACCAATGGTTACGAGATATAGGCATTTTACCGTTACCCAGTAGCGTCGAGATATGGACCTTTCACCATCAGTCAGTAGTGACGAGATCTTGGATCTTTCGCCATCACCCAAGGGTGACGAGATTTGGGCCTTTTACCGTCACAATGTGGTGACGAGACTCGGTCTTTTGATTATACCCTAGTTGTGACGAGATTTGGGTCTTTCACCGTCACCCAGTGGTGACGAGATATGGGACTTTCATCATCATTCAGTTGTGACGAGATTTGGGTAATTAACCATCACCCAAGGGTGACGAGATTTGGGCCGTGCTTCGTCCAATAGTGGTGACGAGATTTGGACCTTTCACGGTCACCCAGTGGTGACGAGATTTGGACATTTCACGGTCATCCAGAGGTGTCGAGATTTGGGCCATCACCATCACCATCCTTATTATCATCACCAATATTACCGGATTCATCATCGTCATCATCATCATCATCATCATCATCATCATCGTCATAACCATCATCATCATCATAATCATCGTCATCATAATCATCACCATCATCGTCAAAACCATCACCACCAACATTACCATCTTCATCGTTTGCATCTTAACATCATCATCTCCATCATTACCAATAACCCAACACTGTCATCGTCATCATTAACAACATTATCATCTCTATCATAATCATCCTCCCCATCAGTATTATATATAAATATATTATCAGCATCATCATCACTATCAACATTAATCATCATCATAATGATAAACTCTGTTATAATCATTATTATCATCGTTATTTAATATATGTTATTTAAGCTTTTTTTCTTTCTTAAATTTTATCACTCGTCAGCCTCTTGTTCTCATCGACCATTCTCCATCCATCAACATTTTATCTACTGTAAAAGAATCAGTAATGCTAAGACTGTCAATTTGAATGATTTATCTTTTTTATTATTATATTTTACACTCTCTTTTTTATGACATGAAAATATAGGAATGTACGTACGTGGAATCTTCTCATAAGTCTACAAAACATGATATGAAAACTTCGCTCGCTGAATCTACTTGCCTTGCCAATTGCATTGCTCCCATGCACGTTTGGTCCCCTTCACACGTGAGCTTTACATGCAGGTAGATTTACATATCAAATTCGCCGTGTGAAAGGACCTTATATTCTATTCATCGAGTCATTGCCTTTAGTCATTTTTTTTTATCTAAATAGATTATAAAACGTGCAAAAATATTTTCTACTTTACACAAAATAGCAAGCATAATAGCAGGAATGTACAATAATATAAACACTTTTCGCAAATAGTTATAGGAATGAATATTTGTAACTTTCGTCCAGCCTTCATTTCGTGTCAAACAGCTAGACAATTTTATAATATATTTAATTCTTCTTGTAGCTGAAATAAACAAAATAGAAAAGAAAATTGCGGTACCAGCCGCGTCACAGCAAACCATAGAAAATAAAACTTCAACACAACGAATATACAAACATAAAATTGTAGAACTATATATAAACATAATATCGCGACAGATCGGGTAAAGTGTGGCTAGACGACCTTGTTTCGGTTTGTGCTTTCAAATAAATGCTCGGATATCAACAAGGGAATAATTTTCCTCTTCTATAAACTAATAATTGATTCAAATACAGCAGTCGCAAAACAATCTAAAGGCAAATAAGATACAAATCAGATATAATTGAATACACATAACAATATAGTTGAACTGTTGATATAACGTTTGGAAGGAATAATCAATGTTATTATTCCAAGAAATGAATTTGTATGCCCCCATTCTCCCATGTATCAGATCAATATGTTTCTCAATTATTTATATATCGCATACATATCGAAATGTACGTATTGAAACATTACGAGTATCACAGATATTTTTCCTCCTTCTAACATAGAAAGTCTGTAAATCAAAACCTTTTGAGCCCCCTTTTTCCTAATGATGTACGAATTATTATAGAACTACCCCCTGAAACAGCAAAGAGCAAGCGTTCGGGGTAGTCCATTGATTCAATACCAGAGGGATGTAGGGGGCGTGGTGGACCGAAAGGGGAACATCATTACCCCTACTTTTTATATCTCTATGATTTACCACCGCAAATGATAAGAATGCTAGGATGAACAATCTATTTAACTTTGTGAACATGCGTGTATAAAATTACATCACTACTTGCTCAATGATTCACATGATCTATGACGATGATAGTGTTCCAAAAGCGAACCGCTCACTGTTTAAGTTTTGTGAATTTCGTTACACAGCAACATCCCACCCAACGATTAAAAGAACTTGATTTTCACTTTTACAGCTGATGAGACTGGAATGCTTTTAGATTTTTGTAGAATGATAGAAGCATATCGGAATGATTGAAAATCCCGTGTTAAACCAAAGAGATATTAGTATCTCTTTGGTTAAACTTAGCATTCGTAGACAGTTTGAGAAACAGTCGTCAAATTATTAGAAAAATATGAATAGTTTGGAATGTAACTGCTGGCTACTATGCATACAACTTTAACACCGTTATGAGAAGGGAACTCACTATTGAAACATAATGATTCATGATTACCTCAATTAATGTGATCCACCAATCGTCATTGGTGAAACAGGACCTTCCATCATGGACATCTTCTAATTGATGTCTAAAATCATCCGCTTAAATGTCATGCCATAATAGGTCATATTGCCGTTCCTAAAAACTGTATTGACATGGAAGACGTTTCCCCCAATACATTACTAGAAATATTGTTAAAGTAGGCCATTTGTGCGACTGAACTTGTAAATTTCTAGTTTCAAACAGTCTGGGTAACAAGTTACAAAACATGTTTATGTCTGTTTAGAAATTTGGCCCACGTAATGCGATTTTTAGCTTCAATTATAGCTAGACTGTTGTTGAGTGGTACAAAATATGGTACAACACCTCGTATTCTTAATTTTGACCCCAATTTCAAATTCGACTCGTTAATAAACAAAATGACAGACATTAAAATAGGCAAGGTACAGACACTGAACCTGCTTACTCCTCCAGAGCAGCCAATTTTGCTGGATTGTTTATGCCATTTTTGTCTGGCTTTAGCGGCTGTGATGTTCTGGCAAGCCACCTGTTTGTAAGTCCACCTTGGTTTTTAGTGCTGGCTCCGAAAAAAATAGGCATACAAATTAGAAATGGAATGACCTTGACAAGAAAATTTGAGATTTCTTAGGGGGTGTGTATATCACTGTCGAAGATTTTAAGAATCATTTTAATAACTGTTCGCGAAAATTACTTTTAGTGAGTTCCCAACAGACAGAAGACAAAGTAAAGTTATTTCAAAATATTATTATCGTGAAGAGATCAAGATTACACATTATGTTAAGTGATGTTAGGTTTTTCAATAACCCATCAATCTTATCTATTATACATTTTCTCAGCAAATTTCCATGACTTCTGGACATAGGAATGTGTAACAATGATTTAATGGAATTATTCAGATTATACAAAATAGAATGTTTTGAAGTTACAAATAATTTCATCCCGCTATAACAGGTATAAACCATAATACAGCAGCTAAAGCGCAGTGGTTGGTTTTACAATGAAAGGCAGATAATAGATCGCCTCATATATTTGTATAGAAAGTCAGTTTAACATTGTGCAACTTATAGTAATATGCATTTATATTCAGCGCTGACTACACGCAGTCATATCAATCTAACAACTTTTTATGTGAAATGAGAATATAACAATAAGTATATAAATATAATCTTGTCACAGAGAAAATGTGATTTCTATGTTTTTATGGGAGGTATTGAATTTAACTACCCATAAAAGAATAGAAAAAAGATTTATTTTTATAAATCCAGGAATATTCCGACTACATATATCGTAATCAGATCAATTTTGCAAGTGCCACATAAAGATTTTTTTAAACATAAATCATTTGAATCATAACTTATTTCCAAATCAAGAATAATGCCACAAAGGACAGAGCGAATAATATTTGTTTGAATAATTTGAATACAAATATTCTATAAACCTCTGAAATAGACTTCCAAACAAATTCAACTATCGAATCCATCGAAACAAGGGGGTTTCAAATTTGAGACAATACTAAAATAAAGCCGCTGTTCTACGTTCATAGTCATTATGACATCTTTTGATAAAAGTGGTACAACAAATTGGATTCTATTTTAATTACCCGGATGTTGATGCCGCAAATATATCAAACAAAGACTGTGTGTTAATTTTATCACCAGGTAAGTAAAGTAAAGTCAATGCAGAAGATAAATCAAGTGCATCGTCAACATAATACATCTGTAATCGTCATTATCTTGATTTATTTTAAAGAACATAAGAGCACTGAATATATAATCTTTGCGGCTAAAACAACAGGGAAATGTAAAAACACGTTCGTATTTAGAACGGCTTGGCAGCATTAGACTATACATGAAATATATCAACACATTTGCATTAATTGATGCTTACACTTTACCGCTATACATTTTCACAAATATGTGACACGCTTTAATGCAATTTTCTTAATTATTCGATAGTTGCCATCACTACGTCTAGCCGCTGATTGGCAGCTTGGAATGTAACCGTCTGGTTATTACTACGCATGCGCGCTGGAATGGCAATTCCCAGATGGAATTCTATCACGTCAAAACGAATGGAATGAGAGAAGAAAGAAGGAATGAAGATTGGAATGATCTCCTTGATAGAGGGCGAAAAATGATTGGATTATGGCGAATCGGGAGAGAGTTCAATCACTTTTTCCTCTTCCTTTTTGTTCAGGTCACCTTAACTCAGCAGACCAGGCGGTGTAATATGTCAATTACACCGGGAAGTTTCCCGTCTCAAAGAGGAAATAGTTTGCTACGTCCCCCTCCCACGGTCCGCTGATGTAGCAAAATATCCAATCAATCGCACAAGAATAATTTGCAGCTTTACGTCGAAAACTGCAAGGGCGCGTAACTTTTATCGTAACTTCTACATTTTTCAGCTCCTTTTATCATCTTTCAAAACTCGAGTCTCTCCAATTGTTTCAAAGTCTACGACGGCGCCCTCAGAATAAGATTAATACAATATGGAATGAAGAATAGGAATGTCTGAATCAACATGCATACATAAATGTTCACAATTTACAAGTTTCCAGTTTCTTTCGTCACCATCTCAAAACAACCATAAGGCAAGTGTGATTATCTGACAAAGTTCAGTTCTAGTAAGTTCATCTGTCAAAAGAGATGGTTGTATCTTAAAGGCTCTCATCGCTTGCTGGTGATGAGTACCACGGCGGGCTGGTGTCACCGGAACAGAGGTTGTCATCGCTAAAATAAACGCTGTTCGCGCTTCCGCACATGCTTCCCGTGCTGCCACAAATGCTTTCCGAATCGCCGATCCCACTCTCGGACGAACTTCGGCTGCTCCTCGCTCGGTTTCGGACGGGCTCGCATGTCATCGGAGGGTACCCCATGACTTCGATTGGTGAGTTGGGATCGGGTTCGGTCTTCACCATCGTCGGCATCGGTTCGATGTTCTCGTAAATCTCCATGGGTGCCGCTACTGCTTCTGGCTCTTCGACATCGCCGTCACTCTGGTCGTCACGGAGCTCCATCAGGAAGTTGATATACCGGATAGTGAGGCGAAGGATCTCGTTCTTACTCAATTTCTTGTCGACAGGATGGCAGGGTAGAAGCTTGCGAAGCTCGGAAAATGCAGAGTTAACATTCTGCTGCCGCCATCGCTCTCTGCTATTGGTGAAGATTCGGCGTACGACTTTACCCGAGCCTACCCGCTCCAGCACCGGTGCGTGCATGGCTTGACGAGGCAGGTGAAATACTTTCTGGCTTCGAGGATGTACGGTGAATGTCTGCTGATGTGGGTTGGTTGGTGCTTGGTGGGGCTGAGGTTGTTGCTGAAGCTCAGAGAGCCCTTGGCTGGCCAAGGCGGGGTTCACCGCAGTGGGGAAGGTCCATGTTACTTGCGGCGAAAAGTGATTTCGCTGAGCGGCATTTGTTGAGCCGATCTCTGCGGTGATGTCTGGCTTCATGTCGGGATTGGCACCGCCTAGCATCATCTGAGGAGCGGCAATGATTGTCGGAGAGAGCGAGTCCTCGACATCAGATGTGTCGATTTTGATTTGGACTCGATCAGATGCCGGTAGCGTTGGGCTGTGGACGATAGGGCTGGCTAGGTTACATCTCGGAGTCGGGGCCATGGTTGTATCGAAACGAGCTGGGACGTTCCCGGGATGAGAGAGGGTGATGTGAGGTGGTCGAGGCTTAGGCACCTTGGTGGTTGGCAGAGGATTGAATCTCGCTACAGCATCCACGTCTGTCGATGAGCTGATCGCGGAAAAGCCCGAGTTGGTGTGACCGAGTTTAAGCGACAGCATGGGGGCCATATCAACGAAGTGACTGGTGTGAAGCTGGGTGGGCGGGGCTGCCATGTCAATCATTGTGATAACGGGTATGACGTCACGGGTCAGGAGAAGTGCGATTGGTCCGATTGTTCCGGTCGTTGGCGATGATGACGACTGAGAACCGATGAAGGGTTATGACATCTGTAAGGAGGAGCAAAAAGAAAGAAAGAAAAGAAATAATTAGTGGTGTTACCAGATCAAACTTTAAATATGACCCGAACCATTTGGTCCTGCTTGTTTCTGACCTCAAATTTTAACAATTATGAAAACAATTTTTCTTCAGTGCCTATATAGGAAACATTTAAAATCTTTTTTTTTTTTTTTTAACGAAATTATCTTATTGTTAATCAGTATTTCATAAACTAGCTATACGTTTATGTGCAAAGACTTTCCTTCTCAAAAAGACAAAGATGAGACAATACTGCTTCAAAATATAGTTTACAAACCGACATGAAACTCTGTAATAATAACCCTACACCACAATGATTCTCAAGTCTTGCTATTACCCGAGAATAATAACCAGACGACAGAAGAAAAAAACAACGACACTTGTACAAACTATGGCATAATGTGCTTTCTTAAAGACAAATGGAATATGCCACAAGGAGGCGGACATAAATGCCATTTAACGATTCATACTGAGAATTCGCAAAAAATTGGAAAACCCTGCTTTTTCAGAAACGAACACTTATACAAATGAAAGCGATTGTATTCTAAAGAGATTCAACTCCAAGTGTCTGAGTAACGCTTTTGGGAGAATCTATTTTGGACAAAAAATGCCTTCTTCACATTAATGACCCCACCCCCCCCCCCCACACACACACACACAGTTATTGTGTATTTATCCCATGAAGTGCACTTTTCAGATGCCCCTTCATCCCCTCCAGCACCCTCACCCCAACTCCGGTCCCCTACATGGATTCGAAGCTCTTGGACATGGTATCAACTTGTGTTACCACGACAGTCACATTAGATTAGATCATTAAAGCAGACCATGATAGCATGCGATGTTAACAGGAAAACAAACACAATCGCGTGCCCGCCCCAGCTTGTAGTAGACCTATACTTTCTATCAAACTGAATCAACGTATTGACTTTCAAAACAAGCAAGTTTTCACAGACACTATTCCGTCGTTTTCTTTGAAAACGTATAGGAGTTCATTGACTTGGTCGTTTCCGAACCTCACAGAATCGATCAAAAATCAGCTGTTAGGCATCAGTACATTGACCAACAATGTAGTTTTATTTGAACGTGAAAGTACAAATGTACAAAGGATATTATTCTAACCACGCTGAAAAACATTTGTAGAAGAGCTTATCGTGAAATACAACAACTATGCACATCCCCTATCAATAAACACCAACCACCAACGACCATAAGACCATGGACCTACATGATTAGACCAACGACCAATAGTGGTGCGCGATGGCGCAGTGGTAGAGCGGTGGTCTCGTAACCGGGAGGTCCCGGGTTCGAAACTACTTTGATGCGCTTTGTGCCCGAGAGATGTCGGTCCCTTGGTTACTTATTAACAAGCATATGCTTTCTTAGCAGTCAGGTAAACCAATAAACCAACTTAACATGAGTATTACCAATACAATACAATACCCTCTTATATTTTCCACATGCAGAGCTTGCTAAGAGGAATGTCACTGAAATTACCCAAGAGGTTTTTTTTAAAATAATTTAAAAAAAAATGACATGTCCACAATTATGATTCTTGTTCAACATGACTGTATGTATTTGAAAAGAAAACCAACACACCCTATTTAGAGCGTCTACTGGATCAATCCAACCCTGGATCATGAAACATGTTATGTCTTTGTCGAGCCGAGCGTAACAAATTCATATCCCTCTTAACCCATCCAAACAACACTTCTGTTAAATCAAGGTAACCTTGTTTACCATCTCCATCAAAAAGCTTCACAAATATCTGTCCTCGACAGTTTGTAATGATTCCAAATGCTGAATAATGAATATCCCTCAATACTCTACATGCATTTTCCCCTTTTTCTATTTTTCCAGCTAACAAGTCGCAAAGGACCGTATTCACGAAGGGTCCATTTTCGCTTCGATGCAAGAGCTTATCCGCTCCCGAATCTTGGTGGATATCAGACGGACTCTAGCGGATAAGGGATTATCAGGCCAGCTGGCGGCAGGGATGTTCTCCTCAAAAACAACCTGATCAAAGAGTCTGGGTCCGAATTAGTTTTACTCGATTACCTCAGTAACACCTTGTTTGCGGTTTGCTGGTAACGGTTGATTGTGCTGATAAATCATAATTGGAAGCTGATATTCCGAAATCATTTATGGTGATATCTTGAGTGTTTGGCATCATGGTTCTGGGTAAAGATCAGAGCTCGTTCCATGTAGTCTATGCATGATCGTACCAAATTTAAAATCAAATAGTGGGCAACAAAATTTAAAGCAAAAATGAGAAGCGGTACTACACCCCCCCCCCCCCCTCCCCTAGCAGACACACAGACACAAACACGCAGTCAAATATCTTTATCAGAATAAGGGGTATTAATGCTCAAAACCATCCCTGCTATCATCAAATTTTCCATTCAGGTGTGTCGTTCGGACACCATTGCTACAACCATGGACTAAACGGAGATCAATGCGTCGGCAGCGCGTCTCATCCCTGGCAATCCCGCTACAAATCCCACCAGCTATACTGTTTATTTTCTTTGAATTAAAATGGATCAAAATAAGTAAGAATTGCACATTTGGCAAGTTCACTATTTTCTATTCTTCTTTTTTCTCACGGAACATTATTCGAGGTACTGTCCGTCCTCCAAATTATGTGTATCTTGCCTCGTTTTAATTAAAATGCTAGAATAGAATTTCCTCAATGTTCATTTTCAAAAGCCAAACTCTCTACTAACTGATGCCACCATATTCTAAAATCCATATACTCTCGTCAAGCAAACTATAAACTACGTCCAGTCGATAGATATTGAAACTATCTGAGGGCCTAAATAATTCATGTTTTATCGATTCCAACTGTGGTAAAAATATTGACTTTGAATTGTTTAAACAAAATTCAAGTTTATCACAGTTTTACTCTTTTTCTAATATGTGATTTTGTCAGCATGGAAACGGTTTCACACACGTCTCTGATAACGATCATTTAATGACAATTTCGTTTCTATTTCAACCAACATAAACATGAACCTGAGTCGTGTTATAGCAATCAATCATGACTGCTTCAAACTAACACTTTCTAATTACCATTGACTCAAAAGAAAAGACGATGATGGAGGGGGGGGGGGGTTTATGGGGTCGGCTGAAAACCACATAGCCGGGTCACTATGGCGGAAACTCGTTGCATCCGGGAGCACAATGTCCATTTCCTCCTTCCCCCAAATTTGAGCTTGCCTTGGCTATTCGCTGGTAGTGCCTGGTGTGTTACCACCAGGTCCTTCGAATCACGAGAAACATGTATAGATACATGGTTAATCCACGTACATACTATCCCTGGTATACCCATGGACAGTGATAACGGTATAATTGGTTGGTATATACGTGCCTCTACGTGTGCGAATAATGTATGTATACGTGCTAATTATTATAGCACCTTGCTTGGTGCTTACACCCTTCAAAAAGGGTATTTTCCCCACTTTTTGTACCTCTCGACCCAGGTGTATGGAATGGGTTCCAAGTAATTGCAGGGCACTCGGGATGAATAAATATCAATGCTGATAAATAAGAATTATCATCATTATTATTGTGAACAAATATATATAATTTTTAGAATGCATATATACATTAATGATGGATTGTTATGAACCCCCCCCCCCACACACACACACAAGGACAAAAATGTATATAATCATAGGCCTATTCATATGTAATAAATTGATTAAATTTCTCTTGTATCTAAATATGCTGCACTTAAAATGGCATGAAATTTGGATGAATTGCAATGATGCAGAATGTAATACTTCATAGTATTTATAGTGAAAACGGTAAAATAATAGGTCAAATACACAAAATATACTATAAGCACTATTGACTAATCATTGAATTCTAGTTGGAAGTAGGGATATATAATTATGTGTGCAATACACGATTATTTACATTTTCTCTCATGCTAGAGATCCATGGACGTATATAGGTCCATGCTAGAACCTACGTATCCGTCTTGACTGCGATCCTGGAAGTTTCGTTCATTTAACTCGCGACAGAGGATAGGATGCAATGAATACAGCATGTACACTTGAATGAACATGTCAGGGAATATAATAGCTTTATATTGATACAGAATAGCCCATCCCATATCCTGCAAATCATCCAAACTCAGTGCTTTCCTTTTTTACAGATGGAATCGAATAGTTCACGTATACACAGTAGAACAAAAATTTGATTTGAAAAAAAAATATATATATAGGCCTATATTTTTTTAAATTTATTTAGTTCAACATGTGGGGTGGATTACCTTTTCAACTTAAGTTGATTTTCAAAGGGGAATGATTCCGGAGGTTTTCGTTTTTTCATTACACTTCATAATGAACAAAACATTATAAAAACAAAATTTACAGAAGGGTCGTCCAATTTCAATGGCTATCTGGAATTTCGATTGTTTCAGTGAGACAACGCGTGCAATAATGGTCTCCCTCACTTCATTTTTGGCGCGACAAATTTGTTGAGTTGAGGGCGAACAATTGTCACCTTCATTCTTCATTAAGTCATTACCCACCAAAGACAAACGGTCGGCTATGAGATTAGTCCCCCTAATCAAGGCCTCTTCCGAAAACTTGCGACAATTTCCGCGCCAAAAATGAAAGCGGGAGAGACATTGTTAATAACCGTACAGTAATCAGACGGGCCTACAATGCATTAACATGAAGCAATTGTCGCGTTTAATTAATCTAATTAGAGGGAATTAGTTTAATTGCCATTGTCTATACATAGCTGTTTTGTGTTGATGATCACCCTATGTGTATCGCATTCTTGACAACTTGCTATAACAATACAAATGGAAGTAACAAAGCAATTATTTTCATGTTTTTGCCAAGTAATTCATTTTTTTTTACCAATCCCTGTGCTCCACATCGAGGCTTCTAATATCAGAAGATCCCATATTATATCTATTTGTGCATTGTGACAATGCTCAATACAGTTCTGACAAAATCTTGGAAATTCTTTGAAAATGATGTTATATCCACATGGCGCAGAGGCCATGTTCCATAAATGAAAATAATTCGCAAATTCACCAACCATTACAAGGTATCCCATCAGTCGTAAAAGTTATGTCCATTCAAAGGCGGCACGATTATCTGCCTACCTATTTCATTTAATCCCTTTTGATTGTCATCGCATGCCGGTCATTATGGAGAGGGGCCTGGGCGCAGATGTACACCCTTCCAGCATTCCCTGTAACGATCTTCATCATGTACTGATTTACTACATCTTAAACCACGAGAGACGAATAATCGAATTGGAACCAGCACGCGCTCTGGAAGAATTTCACGATGATAATTGTAACATTTCAACCGTTTTATTGCGATTGTAAGGCCACTAGTGACCACTGTTCCCCTACAAAGGGCCATTTAAATGTCATCACCTGTTTTACCAGTTATGCCGATTTTATATGTAAGCTCTGCCACAAATGATGAAATACTGATGTTTCACATTATTGAGAAAAGATTTCTTATAATGAATGCTATATCAGGGAGCTTTGAAAACTCTTTATACTCTTTCAAAATGCTTTATCACCAATCACTATTATCATACATAAAGAGAAAAAATTAGAAATCGCAACAACAAAAAGCTTGCCAAAATTTGTATCAAAATCAGACATTCTGAACAAAATAATGTACTTCAGATATCTACTTCAGTGTGATAAAGTGATGTATTATTCAAATAATGCTTTATCATTTAGAAATCATTGGTAGAGTTTAGAGGAGAGAAGGACTATTGTATTAGAAATTTGAAGTAAAACATTATTTACGAGAAAATCAAGTCAAAGTATCCCAATTAATATAATGATAATTAATTACTAATCAAAAGTAAGAATGAAACTGCAACTGAAGTGATAATTGATTCATGAACAAGAAATCACAGAACAGGAACTATGCAAGGGTTCTCTACTTCTTTAAAAAAAAAAACAGCTTTTGATTCAGCGCTCCCGTGGGGAAGGTCCAGCCGGCTGGAGTCGGCGTGTCTCCTTCGATTATCACGGTAGTCAACCCCACTTGAGAAATCAAACAGATCTAGGAAAAATGTTCTACCAGGCAGTAAATCACATTTTCAAATAGGACAGACGGACAGAAATGTTTTCCTAAATGTGATGGAGTCACCAGTATCAGTGATAAAGATAAAATCGGTTTACATAACTGATTCTTAGAAAAACATTCAGTGGATCGAAAGGAGTGACGGGACTTGCTGCACTTATAGAATTACAGATAAAAATACATTTGAAGAAAAAAAAACCTGTCGTGAACAGCACATCATTGTGGTATCAACATCATTATGTAATTACAGTGTAAGACACATGATGCTATGAAGTGAAAAGAATCAAGTCATTTTTAGAAACTCCAGCGTAGACATCGAATGTTTACCAGCAGGCAATATATGTCATTTCGGATTCCTTCCAGACAAACTGAGACATGAGAGGATCTAGATTGATGCAAGACACTCTGATATTCCTCTGTATATTTTAAGCGCAGACGTAATGCTACTTCCAACTTACGCTACCATAATTTCAACCTAAATATTCATGTATTGCTTAGGCCTTTATAATTATGATTTGATGATATTAACATATATTATAAGATGTAAGATATTAGCATATATTATAAGATGTAACATATTAATCACAAGTTCTATTTTTTCACCTGCATTGGACTGGGCTAAAACAAGGACATTTATCATGAATGTTGAATTCTCTTTGAAGTGTTGAATTTGACGCTACCAATAATTCATACCATCTCCGGTGAAGCTGACAGTTTTATGTTGTCTTTTTCTGCATTTGATCAGAGTTTTCAAAGAAGAGATGTAATTACGACTTTCCTGAGAAAGATGGAGTGATATCATGTGAAGTCAAAGGTCAAATCCGGTGATCATGACTTGCATAACCATGGCAACAGCAAAGAGGAACGGGTATGAAGCACAACAGTTACAGCACTACCATTCCTCGGTTGACGAGACCTTTCCACTTTCATCGGAGCAAGTAAAGAATTGCAAATTTATGCTTCAAAGATCATCAAATAGTCTGGTCCATGCAACTGGAGTCCTATTTCTTATAACAATGCACATCACTATAACGATGACACCAACGATGTTTTTATTATTTTCGTCGAACACGCATGTTGAAATCAAAGACTTGTCATCGTAACAGTACCCCTGCATGTTGAAATTATTATGACTGACATGTCTTCAGGTATGGCCTGTTCGACGTGTTTCCACTCTACTGAACTTGAAGTAATAATATTTGCCTAGATTACATACGATTGTGCAAGTTATTTTTACTCATATTTGTAATTGTTTTGTTCTACCTATGTTTGAGTATGATAATGACTTAGGGATGTTGTAATGGCCATTAAATCTGTGAAAAGGAGCCAGGGGTCACTAAACACTTGTCGATCTCTTCCTGTGTCGGGAATTGCGCAAAGAAAACGATGAAGAAAAAAAATGTTAAGAAAAAGAAAAAAGGGAGAGAGAGAGAGAGAGAGAGAGAAAGAGAGACAGATCTTATAAAAAGGAAATATTGCATTGTTCTACAAAGATGACTTATAAATGTCTAGCCGATCAGGAACATGGAAATATAAATTTAGTTGCCAAATAGGTTGACTGTTTTTTGACCATGATTTAATACAGCCATACTATTTATGTAACTAAGAATATTCGTAATGGATTGATATAACTTACGCCATTTCACAATGATCACATTGAACTATCTCATAAAGTCACCTGTTCCAAGTCTGTATCCTGTGCTCTACCAACTGCATCATGACGTTGTTGTGCCCGAGAAGGCAACCGATTGTTCTACCACCTGTCAGTCTCTATACCATCCAAGACGTTAGGTTCTTGAACCCAGTCCTGCCCTCACCAAGTAAGTCGAAGTCTGTATGTGTCCTTCAAGAAACCGACCTTCACTGAAACTTCAACTCCACCAGAAACATCTTCACCTCTTTAGCCCCAGACAACTTCAAGAAGGTTACCCAAATTAAAAGAAAGGACTTCAGCATCTTTGCCTCCTTGATTGAGGGGGCATTCAACTACCTCTCTCGTCTCATTGACGGATTCAATTTGTAGCGTTATTATTAAGAGGTCAAGAGACCACAAACAACAGAATTAGCGGCATCTGCTTGAAGATTCATCAGGTTCAATGCCATATCACTTCAGACAGCATCATCGGAAGGAGGCACTCTTAACCACCTGTTTCTCTGTCGTACAACGTGTTTAGGGTTTCCAAGGAGAATGTGGAGTGAGGGAGGGGGTGAGAGGCAATACCGGCACCCATCTTAATTTAAGGAGATTATTCCCCGTATAAACGCAAGGTACTGACTGCTCAGAAAAAAGGAAACCTTCAATACAATGCAAGATGGATGTTGCAGAAAACATCACACAAGTGATATAGACAACACATTGTATGGTGCACTCTTGCATAACCAGGAAGGGGGCAACATGACCCCCTTATGATCCTTTACTTCTTTACCATGTACTCTGTTGATATTGGAAGAGGTTCATGTTTGAAGAAGACATTTTTATGTATAATGTCCCCACAGGTGGCCTTCATGGCCTCCTTGTACATGGCGTAGGCATCACGACAATGCGCTTGAATTCTGCATGCAGGTGATACCTCACCATAGCTACAACTGAATAGTATTTTAGTTTACAGACTACATCATTACATCATCTTAATACACCAGACAGAAAACCCTTAGCAACTTATAAATCCCCTCCATATTTCAACCTATTGAAATTTTAAATAACGATGTAATACAATCAATAGGAGGCGAATCGCATTCATTAAACCGGCAGTTTAATGATAGAAATAAGACTCTCGACATTCCGGGGAAGTGTGTTGAGAGTATTTCAAATTTTTAGGCAATACTCCAGCAGTGTATCAAGTGTATGGTAATTTATTCAATTATTTACTGTACATCAAAGTTGAGTTATATAATACTATTAGGGTCATGGTGGTCACAATAATTGTTACATACAGAAGCAGGTGTCTGATAGTGTTTCCAAATTGTATTCCATTTCGGGAGTAACTCAGTTTTTCAAATAATTCAGTAAATCAATCCACAGTGTTGACGAAATAATTATTATACACTGCATGATTTTAATTGACTCCAATGATAATTTTACTGCATCACCACACATTCCAACTTGGAACAAAAAAGGCAAAAAAACTATCACTTACTGTTTACCCACACTACAAACTACATCCAGTTTAAGAATACAACTATCGCACTATACATGGGAGAGAGAGAACATGAAAACTAATCGAGAAAATAACCGTGATGCAGGTTAGCTCGTGTTGTGCCCTCACCTCAGCTGTTTATTACAGCTGCAGTATTTGTTAAATGTGGATTAAATCTCTACTTGTGCTAGAAAGTGTATGAAAAAGTTGTCAAGAAAATTAAGACTGTTCAATTACAGAAGATGAAATTGTACATACCATTATCATCTGTATAAAGGTGAGAATATGATCCTCGCGTCGTTGGTCTTATGAAGTTATTCCTCAAGCGATTCGTTCCGTAATACACAGATTGTTCACAGATTCGACTCCCAACACGTGAAGCATCTTCTAATTCAAAACGAGATGAGACTTGCCTCTACTTTTACGGTAAGGCAAAATTAATGTACACTATCATCCGCGTCCTCGTCAAGGATTTGTTTCCTGAAGTTCTTCCAGTCGTTGGTATCAACAAGTGGTTTCTGGTCCTAACACTGAGGCAGCGAAATCCGAGTGCGGTGTATAATGATACCAGTTATATAACCTTGAAGATGTGTTTTAAATGTTAACTGAAATCAGGACCATTTGCCCCGAATAACTCAGTTCTGAAAGATACGTTAGTTCCAAGTCCTCCGATGCTATGGATGTTGAGGTGTATTCACCATTCATGTATCACGAAGTCTTGTATCGTTCCACTAGATAAGGTGGATTTTTGCCAACTCGGCTCTCCTCGTCAGATTACAGTACAGTACACTGGAATGTGTTGTTTCGGAATGTCGTGGGGTATTTAGTCGCGTGCTGTTCGCGCGAGTCGTTTTGGCAGACGACAACTTGTTGCTTCAGAGCCGCGCACGCTTCAGTTTGACTTCGGTTTGACTTCTACCTGTTACGCACAACCTCGACCAGAGTTTTATATCAGTCGCTTGCCTGCTAATCCCCCCGATACCGTCCCATTCAGCTGCTGGTAGGAGTCGTAGTATCAGCGGGCTGAGGGGGCGGAGCTCACGACGTACGCGTGCCCGATCAGCTGCTGTGTCAATCAACTCGTCCAAGACTCGGGCGCTTTGGGCCAATCAGCGAGGCGGTAACGTCGGTCGAGTGCGGGACTTTTCTCCAACTCGCAACCGAGTTGGCGCTGCTCAGCTGTTTGGTACAGCTCCAGCGCGCTTATTGGTTGGAGTCGCGTGAGCTTACACCCTTGCATGACCCTACCGACACCAACCTGATAGGTCCATGGTAGAAAACTCTTCAAGAAAAAAAAAGAAAGGTACAGGGAAGTAAAAACGAGAATGTTCCCAGGTATTATGAAACATTGATAGTAATCCCACCTCCACATTCCCTCCCCCTTCTCTCCATTTTCCCATCTGCCTTCCATGTTTTTCCTTCTTTTTCCGACTATTTATAGAACGTGTAACAACACGTCCCTTGGACAACATAAGTTTTTGCAATTAAGGGTTTCTCATTCTGAATCCCGATTACTTTATTACTTTACCCAATGTGTCCTAATATCTTAAAACTTTACTATATTACCCAGATTATTCGGGGGTCGTTTATGTTTTCATCACCCCCTACATTTCCCCCTTATTTAGCGTTTTATAGTGGTACACGGATTTAGTTCCTATGAAAATACATAAAGAGCAAAGCGGAGTACAGCGTGTCTGCTACATTAGACAAGGGACTTTAGTGTTTTATTGTAACATTCTATGACACTGGATACAAACAAAAAATGAAAGAAGAAATCAATGTACACCATGTGAACAAGGTTACAGAAATATGATTTAGAATGTTGATGTTTTTTTAGTTTGATGTACATATAGGCTTGAGTACAATTTGATATATTTTGTCAAAGCAGTAATTTGTCTCAATTTTAGTTTTACCAGGGAGATGAGAATAGATTTCATTTTATTGCTGATTGCTGATAACATTTTTTCCGTTCCCTTTAAGAATAACCAGCTAAAACTCGTAAATATTTTTAAAGAAAATCCAAACTGTTGTCACGACCAAGATTATTTTGCTCCCTTTAGCTTTTTGGAACCCTTTGCTTCCATGAAAGTTAAAACAAATCATTAAACGATTTTCACCTCTAAATAATAAATCTCTTTTTCAAATAGGATCTTAAACATAAACTGTTAAAAGCTTTGAGTTTATCGAAATTGTAAAACGAATGAATAACAATAATTATTGTTTGTAGTATATAATATCATTATTACAGATAGGCTGCAATCAAACAGCGTGAAAATTGCATTATTAAAACCAGATTGAAGGTAGAGGGCAGCAGCTGGATATCAAGAAGTTCTTCCTGCCGACACTTGAGAACCCGTGTTTCTTTACTTTTTCTTTCTTTGATACACAATTATTGTCATTATTACTTTGAAGGGGTGTGACCCATCCATTTGATTGATCAGAAATTACTACAAGTGTTCATTAAATTCGTTCTTTATTATCAAATATTCTTCATTTTCTCGCTATCAAATTTAACCCCGCTCTCGCTCTCTTTCTCTCTCTCTCTCTCTCTCTCTCTTCTTCTTCTTCTTCTTCTTCTCCTCTTTTTCTCTCCAGACACTTAACATCCCCCTTTTTTTTAACCCTATCATTCAGTAATAAGTCTATTAAACTTATTTTTCCGTATTTGTTATTGCTATTAAAATGTACATTAAAAACAAACTTTCTCTCAATACGGGAATAATTATGTTTACCGGCATTGGTCTCTGAGGCGTTGAAAGATTGATCTTTGAGACTTCCAAACCCTACCACTTAACACACCCCAAAGGTTTACCCATTGGCCAGTTAGGGTGCACAAATTAAAACCCCATCTCCGATTTTCATACCATTAATTAAACCCTTATTCATTGAATCGACGTCTGGCCGAGTTAATGACATGGAGTACGCTGTAGCCAGGGTGACATTTGTCATTTCGCTGATAGATTTCATAGTTTGTCGACCTTCGAAATAACAGAAAAACGTGCAGAGTTGAAATATAAGCTTTAATTTCATTAAGTTCTTTTTAATGATCGACGTGCGCTAACCATTAGCTGCGGCCGATAATTGACATAGTACACGTGGTCCCTAGGCATTTATCATAGTGGAATATTCACCTGCAAGTATGGACTGGTATGGACTGGTAGTTGATGATGTTTGGATTTGTGAAACAAGGGCAACTAACCCCAGGGCGATCACCCCGGACAACTACTCCCGGAAAAAAATATTTGTATAGGACATTTACTAGAGCTGTGGTGGCCGAGTGGATATGTCAAAAGGTCCGCGGTTCGAGTCCCGCCGCGGCACTATAGGCAAGACATTGATCTTCATTCGCCACACTCGACCCAGGTGAGGTAAATGGGACCTGGTAGGATTATTCCTTGAAATGCACTGTGCATGTGCGCTAATAAGGCTGCCGAAGCTAAAGTTAGGGTAATAATTTCCAAAGCTCTTTGGAAGCGCATAGAGACGTTGTATAATGTGATATGCGCTATACAAGTACTTAAGACAACATCCTCTCAGATAGGAACACCCGACAAATTATTCCATAGGACAACTGCCTCTGCAACCCCGGACAATACCCTCGGAATAATGCACCATATTGCAAAACTGCCCGGACAGTTATCCCCGGAACACTACCGCTATATTCTCTCATTGCAATCTAAGTTGTCCGAGGTTGGTTTGATATGGAGGTAATTTCTAAGTAAAGAGTAATTTTTCTGAGAGATAATAATTGTCCCGGGGGGGGGGGGGAGTTGTCCGGGATGGTAGTCCTGGGTGAGTCGCCCCGCAAGTTTAAAGAAAATGGAAGAATGTATTTTATTGAGAGGAGGGGAGGGTGCTGTGTATTCTTTTCTTGGTGAGTTATGTCCACTGTCCAGAGTCCCAAAGCAATGCTGATGAAATAAACATATTGAAAGAAACCAATATTCTTATTAGATCTGTAGCTGTGGCATGACTCCTTATAGGAACAGATAAATATTTTGGAAACACATTAGAAAATGGGTATATTATTACATTAACCTCTCTCTTTGTTCAACCATCGTGCTTAAGGTAATCCACCATTTTTCCAAACACGACTGTCAAAGAAAATTGACTGACATTAAAGTTCCGTTATAGGAACAAAGCAAATGAAAGATCATTCTGCCCTATATTTTGTCCCATATTTCCTGAGTTAAAATACGAATTCCAGGTATAATTTTTTTTATTTACTTATTTCACTCTAACAATATGCACTGTACCATCATTATTATTAATATTATATGGCTATAAACTAACTTATTTGGGACAGCGAAAACACATACCAATACTCTTTCAATAATAATGACAGCGAAAATAATTGCTCGATAAAAATATTTGTTTCCCGCCAAACCGTCTGGTGAAAGTCCGTCGCGACCCAATTGGCAATCGTCACGTGACTCTAAATCCATTTTAATCCCTTTCCCTTAATCCATGGATTCGCGTTTAATCAGTGATGGCAGATTTTAGAAGCGCATTTTCTTCATTAGAGAACGACATCTAATTGTAAAATAAATGTGGTTATAAATGCAACATCATTTTCTCCTCAAAACGACAGTCATGATTCGCCCCTGATTATTACTTTTACTTTTAGTTTGCATCATCATCATATTAATTTATTTTTCACGTTGAGTTAATGCACAATCATGTTGGTCAATTTTATGGATTTTTTAAAGTTGTGTTTTCCTTATTGATGTATATCAAATCGATCTAAATCGCCAACATATAGTTGTGTCCGACGGCTAAATCTGGACAGCCATTGACATTGGCGCTCTGCTCTGGCTGTCGCCGAGCACATTTCAACATGCTCTGCTATTTTCTAGTTAATTTGATTTTCAGCCCTATTAGAGCAAAACGAACTTTATCTTTGTATAATATACACGACCAAGAAGGCGAATAAGCTCTTGCCAATTTAGCGAAGACGGGTAAATCAATTAAAAATGCACACCAAATTATGTACTTCTGAAAAAAACAATTCTTGACTATGATTTCAATTCGTTGTTTTAATGTGGGATCTTTCTTTTAGGGCATGAATAATTGATTAAGACTATACCTTTAGTATAACGAAGGAAAGGTATTATCTTAATCAATAAAGATACTATTCACAATTTTGTTTCATATCATACCAAGACGGGAACATAATTGTATAACTAAATCATATCGTAACCCAGTTTGGATTCATAGAACTTACATGAGAAGAAAGAACTATCTATACAACAAATGAAAAAGTTACGTTTCCTCTTCTTTCCCAGCGGACAAAACGCCTCTATTTTTAGAATCCCGAAGACCTTGAAATCGCGAGAGTACACCAAAGAGAAAGTAGAATAGACAAACTTAAAAAAAAAAATCCGACGAGACACGAGCGACCCTAACGAGGTACTAAAAATAGAACCACTGCGGCCACGAAAGCCCCTTACTGACGTCACATCCCGTGCAGGGGTCGCGGGGTCAATAGGTAGTCTCCCGTTTGGGTTGACATGAAGCATTCGATGTATTGGGTACAATAAAACATGGCTGACCTCTCAGTTATTAAATTGGTGGCTGAACTTACGTCAGAGACACTTGTTTATGCCGGAAATCGAGGGCGGATGTTTACAAGTTTAGGGTTGATATAAACCTGCTTCATTTTAATTCAAAGCATGGAAGCATTTTATTAATGTACGCAGATTGACCTCTTGGTTTAATGAGGTAGAGCTAAAAATAGGAAGAACTCCAATGTTATCTTCACGGCATCACTCCATGTAAATCAATAAAAGAACACGCGCACACCATATTGTGGTGTCGAAATATCTGATAGTAAGGGGAAATTAGGGGGGTGGCGACGACGGGGGCATTTTCCCAAAGTTCCGAAAAAAAGGTCTTCTTTTATGTCGCATGAGACCCAATGTTCCCATCAACATTATGTAT